GAGAAGATCCATTCTAGCAGTTCAAACCGGTGATGTATTCCGAGAAGGTTCTCCCGTGCTGCTCCTGGGACGCGAGGGGGATGCTGCCCTGTAAGAACACACGATCACCGCTACCTGTCGCTCAGCTCCTGAAACCGGTGGAAGTTGTTGGAGAAAAATGACCGAAACTAGCTTCGGAGCACCTCGTTCATAGTACGCGAGACCCCATACCTGCTATGGAGACCTACCAAATAATTGAGGAGCAAGGCTGGGAGACCAGTCCCCGCTCATCATACTCTCCCTACGACTGCTACCTGCTCCGCCTCCATAAGGCTTTCTTAGCTAAGAAAACTTTCAGCAACTTTGATGACATCAGTCGAGAGGCCGCTGACTTACTCTACTCGCAGCCTTCTCAGTTCTGGGAGAGGGGAATGCTTACCTGCCCATTAGGTGGAGCACTGTAGTGGCTAACTATGACGAGTATATTGTTGACTAATTCCCACTGTATGTTGAGTTAGAAAATAAAAAGAAAAAAAGTCACAACAGTGACAAGACTTTCCTTCCAACCTATATCTTCGCCCACCTCAATACAGGACGACAATTGTCTCATTGGAAATATCTCCCTTAAAATGCATCCAATGCAATGTTCAATTGAAGTACCCAACCACGCCTTCCCCATCACCGAGATATGGACTGTGCAACTAGGAGCGAACACGGAGCCTTTGTTGGCGGGCTGTCCGCGTTGGCGGTGCTGCGTTGCCGGGCTGTGCGCGTTGGCGGCCTTGTGACCGCGTTAGAGCGTCATTGAGCGCAAATCACCTTGTGAAGACACTTCCGACTTTTTTTAAAATTAATCATGAGGATTATATGAACAACGTGAAGCGTCACGAAATATACCCTTTTCATTTTATAAAACCCCGCACCACCGAGCGATCGTTCCAATAGCGTTCACTGTAAAACCAAGGTACTGGGCTGGCCCGTTATTAGTGACTTTTTTCTGACTTGAAGTCCCGCAGTAAGAATGAGGAGTTCCACCCAGAGCACGCCATTGCGTTCTGTAAAATTTTTGCTGATCACCCCCCCCCCCCTCTAAAGAGTGTCTCGGTACGACCTCCCACTCGAAAAACA